TCAACAAAAATTGAGATGCCAGATTGAGTGTTTAGAAATTCATTGTAGACATGGTTATTAAATGCTTGTCTTTAGTTATGAATATCTTGTTCTTAAAAAGGAAAGTTACAGATGAGTAATTCCTGATAATACAATAAAGGTCAAACAGCCTTATAAATCAATAGTTTCAAATGTAGATGAGATAATTAAAGTCTGTGGGCAAACTAATATTCAATGCAAATGTAGTTTGGTTATTGATGAGTAGAATGAACGGCGAAGGTGACAAATGAATTAGGTAAAAATGCAACAAAAAGGAGATATTAGCTATATTTCCCATACTGTAGATATTCTATTAATTCTTCCTGTTAATAATAATTGAGATGCTGTGATACAGATTTCAAAACTTTATTTTTCTTGTGACTATTTTTCCATTCCTGTACTTTATATCTTTATGACTTTTTTTATTTTATAACTGGAAGTTTGTAAGTCTTAATCCATATCACTTATTTCACTGATTCCACACTCACACTCACCTCCCCTCTGGCAAACAACAGTTTGTTCTCATTTATGGGTCTGTTTTGTTTTTATTCATTTTTGTTTGTCATTCCACACGTAAGTGAAATCATATGGTTCTTGCTTGCTCTCTAACTTCTTTCAGTTAGCAAAATACCCTCTAGATCCAACCGTGCTGTTGCGAAGGGCAAGATCTCATTCTTTTTTTATAGCTGAGTAGTATTCCATATGACCTCTTCTTAATCTGTTCAACCTATCAGTGGACACTTAGATTGTTGCCACATCATGTCTGTTGTAAATAGTGCTGTAGTATTATCCACATGGGGTGGATATACCTTTTCAAATTTGTGTCTTTGTTTTCTTTGGGTAAACAGCCAATCATGGAATTACTGGATTGTATGGTGTTTCTAATTTTTAATATTTTGAGGAAACTCCATAGTTCTCCCCATTGGCTGTACCAATTTACATTCCCACCTACAGTGCATGAGGGCTTCTTTTTCTCCACATCCCCACTGATACTTGTCATTTCTCATCTTTGTGATTCTGGCCATTCTGATAGTTGTGAGGTGCTATCTCATTGTGGTTTTGGTTTGCATTTCCTTGATGATAGTGATGTGGAGCATCTTTTCATCTTATTTCAGCTTATTTATATATCTTTTGTGGGGGGAAATGTTTATTCAGATGTTCTGCCCATCTTTCAATCTGATGATTAGTTATTTCCATCTTGACTTGTGTGAGTGCTTTACATATTTTGGAAATGAACCCCTTATTGGAAATACCACTTGTAAATATTTTCTTCCATTCAGTAGGTTGCCTTTTCATTGTGTTGATGGTTTCCTTTGCTGTGGTCCCAATGGTGTGTTACTGCCTTTGTTTTACTTGCCTGAGGAGAGCTATCCATAAGTATGTTCCTGAGGCCAATGTCCAAGGGTTTACTGCCTAGGTTTTCTCTTAGGAGTTTTTGGTTCTATACCTCACGTTTAGCTCTTTAATCCATCTTAAGTTTATTTTGGTATGTAGTATAAGAAAGTGGTCCAGGTGTGCCTGGGTGGCTCAGTCAGTTAAGCATCTGCCTTCAGCTTAGGTCATGATCTCGGGGTCCTGGGATTGGACCATGCATTGGGCACCCTGCTCCATGGGAAGTCTGCTTGTCCGTCTTCCTCTGCCCCTCCTTCTTGCTCATGTGTGCGTGCTCGCTCACTCTCTCTCAAATAAATGAGTGAATGGATCTTTAAAAAAAAAAAAAAAAAAAGGTGGCCGGTCTCATTCTTTTTTTCATGTAGCTATCCAGTTTCCCCAGCACCATTTACTGAAAAGACGGTCTTTCCCCCATTGTATACCCTTGCCCCTTTTGCTGTCGATTAACTGACCAGAGGATCATGGGTTCATTTCTGAGCTCTCTGTCCTGTTCCATGGATCTCTAGGTCTCTCTTTGTGCTGGTACCATACTGTTTTGATTACTATAGCTTGCAGTACATCTTGAAATCTGGGCTCGTGATACCTCCAGCTTTGTTCTTCTCTCTCAAGGTTGCCTTGGCTGTTTGAGGTCTTTTTTGGTTTCATGGAAATTCCAAAATTCTAGGTTGGTGGAAAATGCTAGTGCTGTTTTGATAGGGATTGCACTGAATCTGTAGATTGCTTTGAGCAGTATGGACATTCCAACGATCTTCATTCTTCCCGTCCATGGGCATGGTATATTTTTCCATTTGTTTGTGTTATCTTCAAATTTCTTTCATCAGTGACTTCTAGTTCTCAGAGGATAGGTCTTTCACCTCCTTGGTTAAATTTATTCCTAGGTGTTGTTTTCTTTTTGGTGCACTTGTAAGTGGAATAGGTTTAATCTCTCTCTCTCTCTCTCTCTGCTTCCTCGTTACTATATAAAAATGCAACAGATTTCTGTATGTTGATATTGTATCCTGCAACTTCACTGAGTTCATGTATTCTGATACTTCCTGTTTTTTGTGGGGTTTTTTTGATGGGAACTTTTGGGTTTTGTATGTATAGTATCATGTCATCTGCAATAGTGACAGTTTTACTTCTTCCTTACCAATTTGGATGCCTTTTCTTTCTTTCTCTTGTCTGATTGATAGCTGTGGCTGTGGCTATGATGTCCAGTACTATGGTGAATAAAAGTGGTGAGAGTGGACATGCTTGTCATCTTCCTGATCTTAGAGGAAAAGCTTTCAGTTTTTCACTTATTGAGTATGTGGTTTGCTGTGAGTTATTCATATAGGGCCTTTATTATGTTCATTTCTGTTTCTCCTGAACCCACTTTGGTGAGCCTTTGTATCATGAACGGATGTAGTATTTTATCAGATGCTTTCTCTGCATCTGTTGACATGATCATATGGTTTTTATCCTTCCTCTTATTAATGTGATGTATCACGTTGATTTGTGGATATTGAACCCCCCTTGTATCCCAGGGATAAATCCCACATGACCATGATGAACGATCCTTTTCATGTACTGAATTTGTTTTGCTCATGGTTGGGGAATTTTACATGTGTTCATCAAAGACACTGGCCTATGGTTTTTCTTTCTTTCTTTGTGTCTTTGATCTTGGTATCAGGCTAATGCTGGTGTGGTAGGATGAATTTTGAACTTTTCCTTCCTCTTCTGTTTCTGGGAATAGCTTGAGAAGAATAGGTATTAACTCTTCTGTAAATGTTTTGGTGTAGGTTTAGATCCCAAGGCTTGCTTGCTTTTTATATCGGTATCCATATATTTTTATGCCACTGCTTATTTTTCAGCTTTTCTTCAAAAAAAAAAAAGAAAAATAATGTTGGCATATGCCTCTGTTGGTCTCTTCAGCTCCTGTATGCTTAGGTCTCTTTAGCTGTAGGCATTTGCCTTCATTTACCTCTTACTTTGTAAGACCTTTCAGAAGAGGGACTGTCCAGATCTGTTGGTTAGCCCTAAAGCATAGTTTTAAGGGTTATTCAGAGATATCAGTTATCATAACATTACTGTAGTGGTTCCTATCCTTTTATGACTTCTTTCACAAACCCCTTACATAGTACATACAATGTGATGAGCACTTCTAAATGCACTTTCCAGTTATCAATGTTCTGCTCCCAACAGCCCTATGAGATAGTCATTATCATTGTGATCCTTATATACAAAGAAAACTGAGGAACATAGAGGCTGAATAAATCACTTAATGGAATTTGGTGGGAGAGTTGGGACTTGTGCCAGGCAATGTGCCTATAGAGTCGACATGTTTGGCCACAACACCAGTGTTATCTACCCTTTATCCATTTGTCCCTAGAATGCCAGTCACTGGATGAGGTTCTGATCTCTCATCTGTCCACAGGCCTTGATTGACAAACAGTCGTCCACCACCCCATCCCATTCAGGGTATTTAATATGATATCCTCAATTATACTGACTGCAGTTTCCTTGTCTGAATTTTTATCACACGTCAGTTTGCCCTTCAGAAATTAATGTGGTGCCTATCAGCACTAGCCTGAGTACATTCTCTTTTATTTCATTTTTTCTCAGTGTAGCAGGATGGAAGGCAAATGTGTACATTAAAGCAGTACATTTTTACCCTAGCACTGACAGTGCTCACCTACAGAATGCATAACTTGATCTCATTCCTGTCATTGAAGCTAACAATTTCGTAACTTGCTACAGAGTTCTCCCTAACTCTTCTGTCATGACCCTTCATGTTACATCACATGATGGCTGTAAAAGCATAATAAAATTTTATACAATGATATGCATGCTGAGGGAATAATTCAGCTTTCAAACTATACTAAACACATATTCAGTATTAGACCTCAAATTGTGGATTTCTCTTGAGAGAGTAAATATACAATTTCAGACCATATCTAACTAATAATCTTGACCCTATTTAACTCATTATCTTCGCAGCAACCAGTTTAGGAAGCCAAGCCACAATCTAACTTAGCAGCCGAGAGATTTGACGTTGTCAATGACAGCCATCTTCCTTAATTTTTTTTACCCTTCTTCCAACTCAGGACCAACCAAAGAAAACCATAATACTTTTCTCAAACCACTTCCATTGGATATCCCGTTTTGAGTTTTTCGGCCTTCAGTTTCTCCATGCCTACAACCCCAATCAGGTTATACCTGAAACTCCCGTTTGTCACCGGAGTGCTATTGTGTGCTTGTATTTGAATTTATGACAAATTTAAGTGATGGTGGCTGACTCCCTTTCTGTATCTATCCCTGAGTAAGTAGCCTCTGTCTGTCATTCGTATAGTTGTATTTATTTCCACACCCTCAAGAGAAATCAATCTCTTCTTGTTCTAGTTGCTAGAAACATGATTGGAAAATGAGGGACTAATACACCAGTGTTGTCCATAAAGTTTTGTTACAGTGTTGATATTATAGCATCTAGATGATTGGAGGGTTTTTAGATTTGTGTGTAAGTGGTCTTAGAAATATGTTTTATCATTGCCTTACCGTATTTTTGCCTGTTGCTACTTGTAATTTGATGTATTTGCCTTTGGAGTAGGATTTTTAAAAATCAGGGAAACTAAGGATATTAAGGAGAGTTTTATTTTAAAGATAGGTCAATTTTACATTTTTCCAAGTCTATAAAAACTCTCAGAGTAAAAATTTTTTCATGTCTGTCATACCAGCAGACAGATTATTTATAGTTTGGAAAAGAAAAAGTTTACTTCCTGCTAAACTGAGGCAGAGGTGGTGGGACCTTAATATCTTGGCCTCTTTCCAGCTTCTTTTCACAATCCACAAGGTAGTTGACTCCATCGATGACTATCTGAACAAGCTCAACCTTTGATAGTAAAAAAAAAAAAAAAATTAATTTGCATAGAAGACACATGCAAGGCATTAATCAATAAGAACAATACTGGGAGAAGTAAGAAATTGCCATGTTAGGTGGACTTTATAACAATTTCTTCTTTCTTAATATTTCCCTAAAGTATTGTGGAGGGGAGGGTTGCTCTCAGTCCTTATTTTTAGATTGAGTTACTTTTTTGAGAACTTTTTAAATATATGAAAACCATTAGTGTACATGTCAAACACTCCCCGCACCCCAACCAGTCTCTGCTACAAGTTTATCTAAAAGTAAAATTACAGGGGTGCCTGGGTGGCTCAGTTGGTTGAGCATCTGCCTTTGGCTCAGGTCATGATCTCAGGGTCCTGGAATCTAGTTCTGCATTGGGCTCCCTGCTCGGTGGAGAGTCTGCTTGTCTCACTCCCTCTGCCCCTCCCCCTGTTTGCACGCTCTATAAATCTTAAAAAAAAACAAAAAAAGTTATTAGTGACACCTTTGTTTTGTTCTTTGACCTGGATCTCTCTTAAGACCTGCCACTAAGTTATCTGAGCACTATAGCTTAGATAGTATCTGAACTATCATTTACACAGTGGCTAGCTTTCTGAAAAATTACTTAAAAGCAAATGTTTGGGGGCAATTAAATCAGGTTTTCACTGTACCAGGCAAGTTTGCTACTTAAAGGAAACTCTGAATTATATTAGGATTAACCTTTAAAAATTCCTGCTTTTTAAAAAAAAAATTTAGAACTTTGATTTACAAATACGGTTTTTTATTAAATTAGAGCACATCTACCTATGAATTTTTTCTTGGGTTCCTCTTCCTAGTCAATTGCACTGCTCCTAAATAGATGCAAACTAAGATAGTAAGCAATTTCTTAATTCCAGACAGCATTAAAATCCTTGATAACTCAAGGATGGAGGGGATTACTTGTTACAGCTGAATATACCTTAGGCATGACTGAGTCTAGTCCCTGCCCCACTTTTCATGCATAAGGAAACAGACCCCAAGAGAGGGTTAGGTCAGAAAGCTAGTCATCACTAATCAGACACCTAGTTTTTACTTATGCAATTTGAACCTACCCTTGTGTTCATAATGGTGTGGTGACATGGTTCTCTCATTCACTGCCAAAGGGACTCTATCTTGATATAAATCTTCTGGTAAGTAACTTGGTCATAAGTAAGGTCTCCTTATCTTTAACCCAGGAATTCTCTTCCTAAAAATATATCCTAACTAAATAATCAGAGTTGTGATCAGAGTTATGTGTAGAGATGGTTACAGAATTATGTATAGGTATGGTCAAGTAAAACATCAACAAATCAGATATTAAAATAGATAATGGAGTATCTTTATGCTGTCATTAAAAATTATGGTTTTGAAGAATACTTAGTATTGTAAGAATAAGCTCATCATAGAATACATTGGAAAAATATATGATTATATTTTGTTTTTAAAAAAGAGGTATTTGGGTGCCTGGGTGGCTTAGTCGTTAAGCGTCTGCCTTTGGCTCAGGTCATGATCCCAGGGTCCTGGGATCGAGCCCCACATCAGGCTCCTTGCTCATCAGGAAGCCTGCTTCTCCCACTCCCTCTCCCCCTGCTTGTGTTCCCTCTCTTGCTGTCTGTCTCTCTGTCAAATAAATAATTTTTTTAAAAAATATTTGAATAATTGTAAAAATGGAAGGCATGCCTTCTGCTTGGAGAGCCCCAGGGCAGTCCCAGCACCAAGGGCCCAGGGACTGCCCCCGCCATCAGCCATAGGTGCAGCCATCTCATCACCAGGTACACAAAGTCTACACATGGGACAACCATACCTAAGACCATTCTTTCAAGTTTAGGAGAAGTAGCTGTTCTGCCCAATTCATAGAAAAAGACAAAGTCAACAAAATCAGGAGACAGAGGAATATGCTCCAAACAAAAGAGTAGGATAAAACCTCAGAAAAAGAACTGAACTAAACACACTTATTCAACATAGTACTGGACGTCCTAGCCATAGCAATCAGACAAGGAAAAAAAACATCCAAATTGGTAAGGAAGAAGTAAAACTCACTATTGCAGATGACATGATACTATACATACAAAACCCAAAAGTTCCCATCAAAAAAACCCCACAAAAAACAGGAAGAAAGTATCAGAATACATGAACTCAGTGAAGCTGCAGGATACAATATCAACATACAGAAATCTGTTGCATTTTTATATAGTAACGAGGAAGCAGAGAGAGAGAGAGATTAAACCTATTCCACTTACAAGTGCACCAAAAAGAAAACAACACCTAGGAATAAATTTAACCAAGGAGGTGAAAGACCTATCCTCTGAGAACTAGAAGTCACTGATGAAAGAAATTTGAAGATAACACAAACAAATGGAAAAATATACCATGCCCATGGACGGGAAGAATGAAGATCGTTGGAATGTCCATACTGCTCAAAGCAATCTACAGATTCAGTGCAATCCCTATCAAAACAGCACTAGCATTTTCCACCAACCTAGAATTTTGGAATTTCCATGAAACCAAAAAAGACTTCAAACAGCCAAGGCAACCTTGAGAGAGAAGAACAAAGCTGGAGGTATCACGAGCCCAGATTTCAAGATGTACTGCAAGCTATAGTAATCAAAACAGTATGGTACCAGCACAAAGAGAGACCTAGAGATCCATGGAACAGGACAGAGAGCTCAGAAATGAACCCTTGATCCTCTGGTCAATCTATAGCAAAGGAGGCAAGGGTATACAGTGGGGGAAAGGGAAAGACCGTCTTTTCATAAATGGTGCTGGGGAAACTGGACCACTTTCTTATACCACACACAAAAATGAACTCAAGATGGGTTAAAGAGCTACACGTGAGGCATGGAACCAAAAAAACTCCTCAGAGAAAACCTAGGCAATAAACCCTTGGACACTGGCCTCAGCAACATACTTATGGATAGCTCTCCTCTGTAAAACAAAAGCAGTAACACACCATTGGGACTATTCCAAAATAACGAAACAACGCATCATCTGATTATAACATGGGCAAAGCTCCTGAATAGCCATTTTCTTCAATAAGACATACAGATGGCCACCAGACACATAAGAAGATGCTCCACATCACTATCAGGGAAATACAAACCAAAACCACAAGATAGCACCGTGCACCTGTCAGAATGGCCAATATCACAAGGACAAGATGTGACAGATGTTGGTGAGGATTCAGTGGAAAAGGAGCCCTCATGTGCTGCTGGTGGCAATGTAAACTGGTACAGCCACTGTGGAAAATGCTATGGAAGTTCCTCATAAAATTAAAAACAGAACTACCATACGATCCAGTAATTTCATTACTGGTATTTACCCAAAGAAAGCAAAAAACACTAATTTGAAGAGTTATATCCACCCCTACGTTTTTTGCAGCATTATTTAAAATAGCCAAGATGAAGTGTCCATCAATAGATGAACAGATGAAGATGTGACATACGTATATATACATACACACATATATACAATGGAATATCACTCAGCCATAAAAAGGATTGAAATGTTGCCATTTATGACAACATAGACCTAGAAGGCATTATAAGTGAAATAAGTCTGAAAGACAAATATCATATGATTTCATTTATATGTGTAGTCTAAAAACCAAAAAACAGAAACCAGACCATAAATACAGAGAACAAACTAGTGGTTCCAGATGCAAAAATGGGTGAAGGGCAATGGGAGGTATAGGCTTCCAGTTATGGAATGAGTAAGTGACAAGGATGAACGGGAATATGGTCAGTGTTATCGTAATAGCACTTTATGGTGACAGATGGTATCTACATTTGTGGTGAGGATAGAATAGCACATGGAGTTGTCAAATCAGCCTCACCCAGAGCAAAGCTTATGATTGACCTAATTAAAGAGAATCACTGTTTTCCTGAATAAGAGCTGTGAACTCATGAATAAATTTATTCATGTGAATAAAACTATATAAAATGTAAGTTTTACATAAAGAAAACAATCATTTAAAAAATGGAAGGCAATACAATGGTTTTCTTAGGGTTAAGTTAAATAAGTAGTGTTATTTTTTAATACTTTTTGGCATTTTTCTAGCTTTTATAACGGTCACCTATTAACTTACAGTTAGGCTTTAAAAAAAATTTTTTTTAACTGCCTTGCTTTCCAGTAATAAAAATCTAGTTAACATTAGAAGCAGACAGGCTTATGCTCCAGATCTTCTTTATTCACTACATCACATGTTACTCAGTGTATTTCAGAAATTGTATTTAGAGCTACTTCTTCCTCGAGTACTTTACCAGAGGTGGAAGCACACAAGCTGATTTGAGTGTTTCCTGCTTCCCTTTTCTCAGTTTACTGGTAGGGATACACGAATAGGCAGTGAAATATTTGAGAGCTAGCAAGGAAGAAGAAAGAGCATCAATAATGCAAAGATTTAATAACCAGCCACTGAGTTACTAAGATTTGTATGTTATAAGAGAAAGAGGCTTTTCAATTAATAATGGGCATAATACATTCAACGGGACCATATCCAGATAAATTGGTATGACTTACTGGGATCAGTACTGGCTTAGGATTCAGCTGCATGTTCTTTAATTGGGCTCTTTATGCTCCGTCTCATGCATCACTCCAGGCCTACCTATAGTTTATGAATGCTGTTCCTCCTATGTGTTCACAGAATCCTAAAGATTATTTCGTGAGCACAATCTTTTATATACCTAGTGCATACATTATATGCCATCTTTAGCTTGAAAACATAAAATTTTATAAACTATCAAGTATCTTAAAATGCTAAAAGTGAAGCATGGCTTTCACCAAAGGAAATTCAGAATCAAGAGCAAATTCCACTCTTTTACCACCCTCAGAGAGCACACGTTCTCTGACATCATGGTGATAAAATTCTGCTGTCCTTTGGCATAAGAGAGCTCCTGTTGCTCAAAGATCGCTGGAATACTTCTCGGGCGAGGTGCTGACAACAGTCCCACCATGAACTTCTTTACTTGCCTGTATGTTCTCAGCTTACCTTGTGCTTCCTTTCATGCAGTTATTTCCCATGGAGGGTTAGTACTACAGAATGAAACACTAACCAGACTCAGGACTCAGTGGGGAAAGAGGAAGTCTTGACTTTTGTGACTAAGGCAAGGCTATTGAAGCTGCTTCTCCATTCCCTTTTTCTCTTAGGCTACTAGGGTTAGCTCATGTTTGGAAAGTGAGAGAGATGTTACCTCTGATCGCCCAATTCGGTCTGTGTTGGAAATATCGTACACATCAGCCACTGCTGCCGTGTCCACACCACCCGTGCCACGCTTCTGGAGTCTCAGGTTTTCCAGGATCTTAGAGAAGCGTGGATCCTGGGACAAGGGACAGTACTTAGTGTCATAAGAAGCAAAACTGATTCCCATCATTATTGGCACATGGACTTAGTAAGATGTATAATGAGAGATAGTAACCATTAACATTTATTAAGCATATACTTACTGTGTACCAGGGCACTATGCTAGAACTTTTAAACCTTACAGCAACCTCATGAAGTAGGTACTGCTTTCATTCTCATTTCACAGATGAGGAAACTGAGGCTCAGAGGAATATAACTGGTGAGGGTCACACAGCTAAAAGGTAGCAGAGCTGTTACTAACTTCTATATCATTTTTGGCATTTGGATGCCAGCTTTGGTGAGTTGATTATTCATCTGTATAATAGTTCCACTGATAGAATTAAAATCCTGAAGTTAAATCACATCAAATTTTAACATTGGAATAATTTTCATTCTGTTTTTGGTAGGAAGCACATTTTCTAAAATGGTTTTCAAGTATTTGATTTGCTTGTGCTGTGGCAGAAAGTACTGGATGACTACCAGAATTCTTTTTACTCCTCATCCACAGATAGAGCCGAGAATGTGACCACTGGCTAAGTTCTTGCAAATGGAACGAACATAAGTGATGTGTACACTTCCAGGCCTAGACTTTAAATCTTCACATGGTCACACCTGCATCCTCTCTCCCCTTCCCACAAGCTGCAACATGGGGCCTGAGCATGACCATGGAGAGGGGACAATGTCCTAACACAGTGGTCCTCCCCATGCAGTTCCCTGACCAGCAGCCCCAAGTCACCTGGAAATTTGTTAAAAATGCAAATTCTACAGGTGGGCCAAGCAGTCTCTTTTGACAAGCCGCCAGGTAATTTTGATGCAGGCTCAAGTGGGAGAACCCTCTACATTGAGAGAGACAGAGATGGAAGGAACTCCATGGAGGAGGGCAGAGCAGCCCAACTGACCCTCCTGACTTGTAGGAAGAAGGAGAATTTAAACTTCTTGTTCTTGAAGCCAGACCTCTTTCTTACAGCCCTTAACCTTTTATCCTAACTAATAAAAGTGTCTTTTGAGGCAAACTTAACCCTTTTTTGTTATTTCCTATTACAGGTGCAGAAAGTAAGGAAGGGTTATGGAATGGTGGCAATTTCTCCCTCCACAAAGAAGTCACAGCTGAACTTTTCCTGGTGGGACCCAACAGGGCTGTTGGCTTCGTAACATTACCTTGCTGAGCTTTGGGATCCTAACATGGACACCAGCCCGTAAGCCTGTGCCAAGGTTCGAAGGGCAGGTCAGAATGTATCCTAGTCGCTCATTCCACATGAACTCCCAGCCTCGCGCTTGGATTAAGCGTTCCACCTACAACAGTGAACAAATGGAGTTCTTAGATATCCATTCACTCGGTACATCCGCAACATCGGGGAGAGACATGTGTACTGTATGTTTGCCATGAATTAAATTTAGGTAAATTTGTATTGCTTCCTTAATGGAAAATGATACTATCCAAATATTAAAATGATCCAATTAAATTAGATGAAGCATGTAAAGCACTGAATGCAGTACCTAGCAGATACTAAACATTGAGTGAATGTCAGTTGCTGTTAATTATTTTTCGTGGGAGAATAATAGGAGAATATAGGAATTCTCAGCAGATAAGGCTGTGGTCAGGTTACTTTATGAACAGTCACATCCTATACTGTCTCTATGCTTATAATCGCCAAGAGCACTGTTAAAGAAATTGGAATGTAATTAATGACCCACAGACTTCCCTAAACCATTCTGGACTGGGAAGGGAAGCATAGGAACTTATAAGTAATTAAAAAAAAAAAAAAAGTCACCTATTTTTTGAAGCACTGCCCTGGTAGTCCCACCCTCAAAGAGTGCCATGATCCCTAGAAAAAATTAGCCTCATCTTGGAAGTCACCATAGTGTCTTCTGTTAAGAATGAAGAAGTGTTTTCATTTTAATGAATATTCAGAAATCTCTGGTAACATCTTACTTCTTTTAGTCCACGACAGAATCGCTCAAATACTCTTTTCATATTGCCTCCTTTTTCCATAGAGATTACCCTGGTGTGGTCTTCCTCATTAATCCAGATGAGAAATGTCTTGTCATGATTATGCCTAATGAAAGGAGAAATGTGGTGTTGCATGTTAAATACAGTTGTTTCAACACATGAAAATTCCCTTTACTGCTGTAGCTTGTTTCATTTCACCTTCCTCATTTCCTAGAAGGCCCTAAGTTTTTCATTGTGACTGAACAAGTACTACAAAATAATGTTAGCGTGACAGAATGAAGAATAAGACCAACTCCAGCCCTTAAAGATGTCATGTTTTTGCCCAACAAGAATATCATCTTCCCCAGTCCTTGGACAAAGAGGGCAATAATTCAACTATGGATAACATTTGGCTTCTACACTAACAAGAGTGTTCTACAATAAGCTCAACCAAAATCTTGTGGCACTTCAAGGAAGTTTTTTACCTGCAGCCCCAGATGTTTGGGGTGCAGAAGATTTCACACGTTTGCTGCATAGATCCTGCCTGTCCACACACACACAGCAACTGCTCATGAACATACTTAGCTCCTTTGGAGAGTGTCAAAATAACCTACCAAAGTGCAGGAATCAAAGTGGACTGAGGACTTTGGCCAAGATAAAATATGTGTATACTCGATATCCGTTCTTCCTTGTAGGGTTTTGTTTAAGTCCTCAATATTTTTCATTTTCTGCTCTTTTGTTTTAATGTCATGAAACAGATTCTCCATGAGGTCAAATAATATGAAGCTAATTTTTCTTAAAAATAGTCTTTTTTTCTCATGCATAATTCATGCAAACTAGCGAACATTCTTACACATCTTAAGAAACATCACAATACTTTGTAATGACACACACACAATTTCTACAATCTCTCTCCCCTCCATTTAACTCAAGCCGGGCATGCTGTCAACTGCAGGTCACAGCAACTTCAGGTTAGGACAAGCAAGTGATCTGAAGGAGATCCTCTGCACACACTGCAAATGTGAAAATGCTATGTCCATACCAGATTCCCCTGGCATCTGGCCAGTCACGGGCCATCCCAGCACATGTTAGTAAAGGGGATACTGGCTTATCAAATAGAAAGTGATCCTGCAGGCCGAAAGGGACAAAGCAGAAAGGAGAAAATGATGAGATCAGACACGCCTACACATGCCAGGTCTGTCAGGCAGTGGTTCTCAGCCTTGGCTGCCCACTGGAACAACATGGAGGCTTTTTAAAAAATATAAATGCCCAGTTCCTGCCCCCCCCAGAGATTCTGTCCTAATTGTTATGGGGTGTGGCCTGGACAGTGGGATTTTTTTAAAGCTCTTCAGGTGATTCTAGTGTACAGCTAAGGCTGAAAACCACTGGCTTAGCCCAGATGGAAATACTTAATCACTATGGATTATGTCTACCCACCCGCACCAGTGACAGAGCGGGCAGTGAGTGAGGGATACGCTCCGGGAAAGTCATATACACAGCCACTATTCTCTATGTGGCCGGCATTATCGGGTCTTTTATTGTTATTCCTTTCAATAAAAAGTATTGGAGATGTAAAATAATGGTTTACAAATAAAAATATCTACCATTAATTCAGTGCTCGCTATGTGCCAGGCTCTATGCTATGTGCTTTTATTTTCCTGAATCCTCACAATACTATGAGGCAAATATAATCATTTTATTTTATGAGTTAGGAAAACAGATTCAGAGTGAGAAAACAACCTACCCGGTATCACACAGCTCGGAAGTGACAGAGCCTAGATTCAAACCCAGACCTGTACGACATCCAAGCTTGTGCCTTAAACTACAGTATACTACTCTTCATATCAAAATCACTGTCAAGAGACTGATGTTTTTCTTACTGTGTGTATACAGTAAGAACATGAGTCTGGCTACCATATATTCAAATTTGATTACATTGAGGTAAGAAAAGATATGGAGAGGGAAGGCCTTCTATGGTCTGAGTGGAAGGGGTGGGAGACATTAGCCAGAGCGGACTTTGTAGCCTTATGCTGGAAACCACCAGTGGCTGCTGGAGGCTGAGGAGGGCTTATTCTCTTATAGAGCAGGCGGAGGGTTGGCCTGCCGGCTGCAGAGACCAGGAGACTGAGGCCCGTAGAGACTACAAAGCTAGCTCGTCTAGTTTGGCAGTGGGGCATATTTTGTGGCATTGCATCTTCTGAAACGACAGATACTTTGCTTCTGCTTTTCTTCGGAGTTAAAGTAAAAGTTACTTTTGAAACTGCTCTCCCTTTTTAGCTATGCTACAGGGAAAATAAGTAGAAGGACTTGACTTTTGTCTCCCCTGGTGTTAAGAGGGAAGCTGTCGAGGACTCATGGAGGCAGCAGAAATCCCAGAGCGGCCCCAATGGGACTCAGGGCAGACCTTCCACCTCGGTAACTTCCTTTCCAGATTTTCCTAGCTTCCAGGACTTTCTTTGGAAATGGCAATGGAGACCATTCTCAACAAGCAAAGGGATCTTCCATTTAACCTCCACGCATGGATCCCCAACCCCCCAGCTCCATAGTGGAGTTTCCTCTACAGATTTTAACCACAGACCATTTCTGTGGCTTGACCTAAAGTGTTAAGGCCTCATTTTCCTTCCTTATACTGAACAGGATGAAGTCCCAGCAAGCTCCCCATGAGGCCTCACAGTGCCCATTAGGGCTCTGGGCACAGCCCCACCCCAGGCAGGGCCAGATGGTTCAAGGGCCACTCACGTCTATGAGCTGTTGCTGGTCCTGCTCGGTCATCTCGGACAGCTTGTAGTAGCGGCCTGCCAGGTCCCCTTTGAGGCCCTGCAGGGCCATGATGGCCACGTTCTCCACCTCCCGTCGCTCAGCCCGGGTGCAGGCAGGCGGCAGGCTCAGCCCGCGGATGCTGCGGCCTGTGCGTACCCGAGAGGACAGCACGTAGCGCTCGTCAAACTGCCCCTGGGTGATCTGCCGGAGCAGAGGGCACCTGGGGTGAGCACAGCCAGCCGCAGACTACAGTCCCGCCACAACCACCGTGGGTTCCAGCCCACTAAGCTGCAGCACCCCCGGCGGGGGGCCCTCAGACCCTGTGCACAACATGCTGGACACGTGTTGGAATTAGAGGTTAGGGGTCGCATAGATACGGGGCCAAGCTACTTTATGCAGTGCCATCCGGAATCCTTTACCCCACTAGGTGCGGGATAAAAAAAAAAGGAACTGCTTTAGGAAAGGCCTACAGCTCTCACTGGCCAACACCACCCTACTGGTCCTGATAAAAGAAAAGAAAGACTTGGGGACCTTTCTGACCTTCTCCTTGCCCCTGCAAGGGGGTGTGCTCTGCCAGGGCCATTCCAGAGCTTGCAGAGGGCATCTGAGCCCGGCTGAGTCAGCCTCCTCTCAGGTGCCCCTCACTTCAGGCTCTGGAGTGCCAGCTTCATGGGAAAGCACAGGGGGCTGCAGCCTACCTTGGATGCGTCCAGATCCGTGGGGTGCTTCATCACCTTGGGGTCATAGCCATTGTGCCTTAGCTTGATGACAGGATCAAAAAGGTCGGCAAACACCTGCAGAAGGGAAGACACACTTGTTTCCTCTTTAATTGGGTCATCTATTAAGAGGTCATTCCTTTCATTTGCCCCTTCCTCCCATAAGCGCCAAAGCTGCCGCCCTCCTCTGTCGTTCTCAGTGCCACCACACAGGAAATGGGGGTGGTGGATTGACGGTTACCAGATAATAACAGCAATGACAGGCCACCTCCCTAGTGTGTGATTCTGCCAAGCTTACTGCCATGACACTGAGCAAGAAAGCCTTGTGTTTAAGGATTTGAGGCTTTTCCCCAGCAGTCCTTTCCTTTGTAAGATGAAAGCAGCTGCCAGAGCAGAAGGGCCACAGGTGGTTTTGTGGTCAAAAAGATGATCAGGTTCTGGAGTGTGAATGTAGTAAATTCACAGAAAACCAGCTGCGCTACAAGAAAAGTGCACAGCAGCGCTCAGGGCAAAGCCTGCGGTCCTTCCCCAGCCCAAACTATCTTGTGCAAAATCTATTTTTTTAAAAAGCAAAAACTTCAGGTATATCCTTTAGGTAAGATAATGTTAAGAAGTCACAACGGAGTACCTGCTGCCTCTGGGAGCTGTGGGAAGTGAGTGGCCAGGGGTGGGGCAGCACATTGGCTCCCGGGAGCCGGTTCTGGTCTGAGACTCTGGGGGCCCAGGGCAGCGCACTGCTCTGTGTGAATGAACTACCAGTCTTGTTAACCAGGACCCCCTCCCTCCTCTTGATGGCTGTTCTCCCAGGGAACTGCCTTCAGCTCCCTGCCATTTGCCGTGGTGTAGAGGTAGCTCTGTGACGAGGCCTGCATGGTGACTGAGCTGCCCTAGCAGCAGACCGTCCTATGCTTCTGCCCCAAGGATGAGGACATGGAGATCCTGGGATTCCTCTGAGAGACTTGATGAACTCAGTCATCTAAGCTACAGTGGTTGTGTGATCAGCAATTCCCAAGCTAAAGACACATCATCCTCCTTCCTCAATAAAGTCTAGCCACAAACACACCATGTCCTAATGTCTTTTTGGTGAATATGTATCACCAATAAATTACAAGATTTTTTCTGTACCAATTCATCCCCTTGACAGTCTCAGAGAGCCCTGTTGTGTAACTCATTCCTCTGTGAGGTGGGATACTAGAGCTGCAACAAAGGAAGCCTTATCCCTGGGAAGTTGTAGACCTCCTTGTTCCAGAAAGCATTCCAGATGTTCTGCTGCCGGCTTCCCTTAATCAATGCTGGCCCCACAGAGAAGAGAAGGACTCTGGGACCCAGAGCACCAGCCCCCCCAACTCTGGAATTAGCAGCCAAGTTTTACCTCATAGGACTCCTCATCACCAGCCACCATGCCCACAGTCTTTATGAAGGGGTGGCCAGGGTTGTCCACTCCAGTCTGGATACACTGGTCCAGGGTATAGCCATTGGGCGTCACCTTGTTGCGGAGCTTGGCGTAGATGGCCGGGGTGAGGCACTCTGCCATGCAGTTGTTGTGCTTTCGCAGATCAGGGTAGTCTGCACTGCACACGGAGGGGAGAGGCTTTCAGTGAGCAGTGCCTGAGGGAAGCAGCCTCTGAAAGGGCTTTGTTTCTGGCCATCCTTCCACCAGGCTCTCTTTGGCCAGTGGGCATGGGGACACCTGTCTAGGAGTCATGACTTTAAGCCAGATTAAGGGATGCTTGGGTGGCTCAGTCATTAAGCATCTGCCTTGGGCTCAGGTCATGATCCCGGGGTCCTGGGATCGAGCCCCACATCGGGCTCCCTGCTCGCGGGAAGTCTGCTTCTCCTTCTCCCACTCCCCCTGCTTGTGTTCCCTCTCTCGCTGTGTGTCTCTCTGTCAAATAGATAAAAATCTTAAAAAAAAAAAAAAAAGTAAGCCGGACTAGAATAAAGAAAAAACAGTCCCCTGAACAGCCCGAGAAGACCTGGCCCTGCTTAAGGATTCCATGATGCTGGCTGCAGGAGCCCACAGACCATGGCTTATTGGAAAGAGAAGACAGAGTGAAAATTAAATAATAAATGGAAATTCCATGCAGACTTTTTTTTTTTTTTTTAACCCAGATGTTCTGGTAAAATGCAGTAACCACATTTTGGTCCCTTAGGTCTGTGATGGAGAGAATAGAAACCTGCAGGTGGAGCTACATAGAAATTCAGTTATTTATCTGTCCTCTATCTGTGGTGCAAGTTCCATGAGAGCAGACTGGGTCTGCTTTGCTGAGAGCAGCAGCTGGCTACAGAAACGGGCATTCAGTACATATCTGTTGGAACAGTACACAGAAGGAAATAAAGGGAGGCGCTCTCTTACGCCGAGATGTGTACTGGCTGAAGAACAGGGGATTCGGGACTCCCATGGGCTCAAACACAGGTAATCTCACTTCAGGAATTCCTGAGGTACATGGTAGATGTCGGTAATTCCCTCAGAGATCTGGATTCCCACAAGAGCCAATGAATATCTCTGAGAAGAACATCAAGTCTTCCTGGTCTGTCTCCTCCACACCCGTGTCTGCGGAATCTTGTGAAGTCAGCACTGCATGCCAACTCTATGCAGTGTGTGTGGTCTCATCCATGGCGAGGAGCCAAGGGCTGAGAAATCATGTCCATCTTCATGCCACTTCCCCACTTGCCATCTGCAATGGCCTTTAAAGCTGATACTTAACATCAGTACTACAACATCATTCTCCAGAAAGTGGGATGGCAGTGAGTGAAGCATGGGTCTGGAATCAGGGTCCTTGGATTTGCATTTGGCTGCACTAGGCGTGTGAACTTGGGCACTGCTTCATTTTTCTAAGTCTCTGTTTTATCACAAAGGGATGCTAAGATGAATAAAATAGATACTCCATATATAGCGCTTAAGACACATCAAAGTGCTCAACCAATGTTCATTATGAGTATGATTACTATTCAGTTAGACCCCAAGCTCTGGGGGAATGATGACACTGCACTTTCTTGGATTCACCACAGGTCACTGTGCTTTGTGTCAACAGTGATGGTCAGTGTGACTTAGTCATTCTCAAAAGCAACAAGAAGGACCCTTGCTGACAGTTTCCGGCAGGGGAAAGCATATTTCTGGCTGACACCAGGAGTTCTTACCTGGGCGGGAACTGCCGATGGTGCTCCCGGGCCTCGGCACACACGTTCTGCTGGTTCAGCAGGTACCCAGTGGTTAGGGCGCTCGTGCCCATGGTAGCAAGTAACAGAGAAGCATTGCGGCCAGTGAGCAACTTAGAGAAGGCACTGGCCATCCTTCCTCTTGGATGAGTGTCTGAAAGCAGAGAAACTGGATTAGACAAGCTCCCGGGGTAGCCCTGAGCCCCAGCACAGTGATCGCCAGGCAAGAGAAAGAACTGCAAGGAGCCACTGCCTCTCTTTTGGTTTAGTTTTTCTCTTTCTTCCTTTCTCACCCATAACCCTTCACACTGCTTGGGGAAATGTGGGTAGTTGTAGACACTGTGAATGTCCAACTACCTGAAGTCCATTGCCATTTTCTCCAGTTGAGAATACAGGAAAAATAAATGCAGAGGATTTCCGCTGCTGGCTATGTGACAGACCAGGTGCTCCTCTGGAACCCGCCACTGCACAGTGAGGAGAGCCTGAATAGGACGGGTTCCTGGGCTTGGAAGAAGTAGAGGAAGTCTCTGAGTCCTACCCTCCCACTCCACTCACCGCAAATGAGCTGGTGGCAGAGCTCGGGGTAACAAGCGAGGAGGTTTGGGTTATCTTGAGGACGGATGCCCATCTAAGCACTAAGGTCAGGATGCCAGCAGTGAGGTGGAGGGCTCCTTCTGTGACTCCGCTAGTGAGCTAGGACCCTTGAGAGGGGTTAAAGTGGCCCAAGGTCAGCAGACCCCAAATCCTTGGCTTCCAGCAGAAGCAGAAACAAATCCTCTCTAAGCAAAGTACACTCAGTTTAGGCTCTTGTTTCCTACAGATGAAGATCAAGCAATAAGCTCTCAAAGATCAGCAAGCACACAAGGAGGAATGGGGAGTCAACAGATTCAAACTATCTTTTAAAAATGAGAATGAAAATAAAGAGATCATTAACAAAGGAACCACTAAAATATATACTTTAGGAAGAAACAGACATTAGAAGGACAGCCTGAGATGCAGATAAAATGTAGAAGACATATGTAAGTATTTGTTTAGATGTATACAATATCAACAAAGAATGAAAATCAGGATAAGACCTGCCCAGACAGATACCCTGCTGTGTCTGCTATTGCCCAGAAATCGGAAGGACCAGTTAATCCACAGCATCACCCAGCAGGGAGCTATTTAATGTGGGTTGTTGAGTGCGGAACAATAGAACAGATCACTGTAAGTACTCTCTCATTATGTTCATCTCTGTGATGCCCAAATACAGGAGTGTGGAATTTTTTCCCTAATATTTAGAAGGTTCCAAGGACTGCTACAAGATCCTTCAAGCTTAGCCCCTGCAAAGAGCCCACTGATATGTATGGCTGTGGCTGAAAACCTGGGCCACCCAGTGGAAGATAAACTTTTAATAAGGTAAGTTTGGCATAGCCTTACACACAATTCTAAGAGCAGCCTTTTGAGGTTCACTTTCTTCCTTGATTGTATTTTGGGAACTGGGATCAGTCTATGAACTGTATGCTTCCAGAATCTCCACCTAAAAGTCTCTATTTAACATCTGTTTGGGCAATACTAGGGAGAAATTTGAATATCTCAACCAAAAGCACCAGAGTCCTTGAAAAAATTTAAGATGTTATTTTTCTACGCTAGCCCAGGAAATCAGATTATCATAGAGCCTTTCTTCTGTGCTAATGTCTAAAAACAATCCCCTGAGTCCTAAAGACAACAGAAATTAGTAATCCTCAGACAAGATAATTGGCCCTTTCCTAAAGTTGTCCTAGGGACTTGGACTGGCCCAGCAGTAATCTCATCACACGACTTCGGGCTGTTGGTCTCCTTCCAAGAGTAGGGGAGGGCTCCTCAGAGAACTGTCCCGATACTTGCTGGCCCTTGTGTGTGGCAGGCAGCACTAATGTACATCTTTCGGTTCCGTTTTAGCTTCATCCACACCCTCCAGCCTCCTTCCTGAGCGGAAAGGTAATGCTGTCATCTGAGGTTTATCACAGAACTCATCAAAGTAGAAGGAAGCTTTGTCTAAATTCTTTCCAGGAAATATAAGGGCCAAAAAATAAGCTAGGACAGTCCAGACTAAGAAGTCCATTTGTTTCTGAGCTTGACTCAAATGTCTTGATCTTTATTTTTCTTTCCTTACTTTGCTTGGACACTGGTATGTGTTCATATCAGAGTCTGTTTGAGAAGACTAGTCTTAGGCAGAGTCAGGAGGAAGAGGAGGGAATGGTGTCATGGGCACCCCACTGACAACTGGTGGTTTTCAAAGGTCTTCTTCCATGTGAGAGTGATGTGTAGGTGGGTGTCTAACTCAAAACAATCATGTTTGAAATGTCATATCTATATCTTGTTTCTGGAAATAATATTAATTTATATCCAAGAGTTCCAACATTGTCCTCTTGTCCGAGCCATGACATAGGATTCCTGCCAATAATCCGGTGGAGGCTTTGGTGGAAGCAACCTAAGCCATCCTGGAGCTGAAAATCTTTAGTGCTCTTGCTTGCATTCCTTGTAGAGAATTGACACAGACTCAGAGTTTTGGTGAAGTGAAGATTTCCTGCTTCCTTGACTCTATGTTGCTCTCTTTTCAGGACACATAGCAACACTGAATTTCTGTTGAGATGCCAACTGATAAACTTGAGAGTGAGACTGAACTAAGGGTCTCATCAAACAGCCTAGGGACCCTGGGAGCAGCTGCTCCCGAAAGACCCAGAGCCACGTTTGCAATAAAACCATTTTTCCTTGTGACTAAATGAAATCTCTGTTGTGTGTTAAAAGTTAGTCTTTGAAAAGCTTCACAGTCTTTGTCTTACAGACTCTGTTACCTGGGAGGCCCCAAATATTACATAAGCCCCCCTATCTGCAGCTGAAGCCCCTGCTTCCAAGAGGCTGGATTTGTTATTTGCACAGATGGTAAGATGGTAGGTAACGTGTGACATAAATAAGTCAAGCTAGGAAAAGGTATATAAGAGATAACCCATGTCCACCAAAGTGGTCAGGATTGGGCTTTGCCTAGTTTCCAAACATGGTGGTTCTGTAAGTCAGTCTATCTTGTGAAACCACCAGGACCAAAGTTTGAAGCATAAAGCAATCTGAAGCTTCCTTACAAAGCTTTTTAATTTTTTGATTCTCTCCATGCCCCAAGCATTGGCATAACCTATTGAACTGTTCTGTGAGGAGATAGGTGGAAAGAGGAGATGAGGGGCCGGAGCAGCTGTGGTGCTTCTCCAGGGACAAAGGCCTCCGCATCCAGACACCTTTAGGAGGGGGGAGAGGGCTCCACTTTAAGGCTTTGGCTTTTGCTGTTCTTTTTGCCTGACAGCCTGCTTGAAATTAGGCATCATTCCCAGTTTCTCTGAATAATACCGTTTTGTTTCCTTCTTGGCACTCATCTCCACCTCTCGTTATTTTATCTGCTTTGTTTACTGACCATCTCCCCCAAATAAATGATAAGCCCCCAAAGGAAGGAAGTTGGTTTCTTTTGCTCACTGTTGTATCACCATTGCCTAGCACAGCACCAGGCACTCGGCAGGCTCTCAGTAGCATTATTTAACAGATACATTCTGTCCTTCTTGCTGGGGTAGGAAGCCGCTCTGAGGCTTGCCAAGATCCACACGAGAATGCTCGTGTCAACTGAGTGGGCACAGTGGGGGATGTGAGGCCGGAGAACTGGGCCAGTCGGAGGACGAGTGGATGGGCCCAAGAGCACAGGCAACGGAGAAGTTTGGAAGCCAGCTTCCCTTAGCCTTAGGACACCCAGTGGCCAGTGTCCTGGGAGCAGGATCCAGACAGACTTCTTTGGGGGGAAAGAGGCAAATGTCAGCTAAATAAACTCATTGGGAACTTTATGAAAGCTCACACAGCACATGTACACACACATTCAGGGACTGTCATGGGGCCCAGAACACCCTGGACACGGTGCACCAGCCTGACTTTCAGGATGAGAGCTCTTGAGCTCCGTACTGAGCTCTCTGATATATCTGTTATTATATATACCATATATCTAACATATTCTAATACAGATATATAAAATATATACTCTATAAAATAGATGTATTTTAAAATACCAAACAGAGAGGGAGGCAAACCATAAGAGACTATTAATCACAGAAAACAAACTGAGGGTTGCTGGAGGGGGAAAAGGGTGGGGGCATGGGGTAACTGGGTGATGGACATTAAGGAGGGCATGTGATATAACGAGCACTTGGTGTTATATGACTGATGAATCACTAAATTCTACCCCTGAAACGAATAATACACTATTCGTTAACTAAATTGAATTTAAAGTAAAAAAATTTAAATAAATAAAAATCAGTTTACTTCGTGTGCTTTTGTGCTATTTACTATAAACCATACTCATTTGTTTTGGTGAAATTATTACTGTTTGCTTAAGTATTGCTTCTTACCACCCCTCCAGTTTGGACTTATGGTCCATCTTTCTTGCGACTGAACCAGAGCCTGATGCCTCAGTCTGCCCGAAACCTCTCTGTGCCCCGCCTAGCCCGAGGTGACTGTTTGCTCTCTACCTTTCCACAGCACTCCTGGGCTGCTCATTCATTTCCACGTATGCTGCACAGGTGTTTGACACCTGCTGGTGAATTCAACTGTCCTGTAGCTCTTGTCATGTTAAGGAACTGCCCACTATGCGCTTTCTTCCCAGCCAATGGCTAAAATCTTCAAGTACAGGAACCTACCTGTCACAGATCCTTGCACATAGTAGCCCATCAATAAACATTTTTCTCTGACCTATTTTTGAGCCGTGCTTTGCCTGATTTCCAGAAGAAGGAAATCTTACCAGCCTCCTGCTTATCTCCTTTCAGACAATCCACGTAGATCTAAGGGAGTGGGCCCTTTTCCTTGGGCTATCTCCCAAGGCACCTTTACCCTTCTTGCCTGGCTCCTTTGCCCCCAAGTACTTCTTACTTTTAATTTGCTATAAAGCCTCAGGCCCGGTATCTAAGCCAGCTTAGACTCACGTTTTGACCCAGGAAGCTAGCTTACAAAATTAAGGGGAAAAAAATCTACTTACATTAAACACATCCCCTTCACCTACTGATTTTGAAATCCTATCATAAAAGCAACCAAGCGAGGCTGGTAGGCTGGATTTCAGCATTTCCCTGTTCTGGTTCCTGGTCTCTACAAGCCGCCCAAGAGCAGAGCAGC